TATGTAGTTCTGGCTGGCTTTGAGATCACTATATAGCCCAAGCTGGTCTTGAACTGGAGGCTCTCCTCCTGCTTCAGCCTACTGAGTGCTGGGACTACAGACATGCCTGCCGCTATGCCCGGCTCTGCTCACTTTCTGCCTCCATCCTTTCCTCAGACAAAGCCCTGGTCACTACAGGTCACCATCCTGGCCACTCATTGGAAAAGTTTCTTCTCACTTATATTCCATGATTACTGATCATCATGTATGAAGTATGACTGTTTCCCTTACTGATCATCATGTATGAAGTCATTATGGTATCCAGAGTAAGGAGCAAATGCTTAAAGTATTAGGGTATCTCAAAACCATTCAGAGAGAAATGGAGAAAGAGAAAGGGAGATGGAGAAATTCCATTACGGGGGAGAGAGTGATAATGAGGAAGAAAGATATGGGAAGAGGGAATTTTTGAGGAAGAGTGCCTGGACGATCCTAATAAAGAAAAAGCAAAGGGATGTTGCTAAATCTGAGTTTCAATACTGTTTTTATACATTAGACAATGAGGTGAACCCCTTTCCAGGAACAACATGATTTGTGAAAAAAAATCTGAGTTACTGACACTTCAGCTCTTCAAGACATTCTCAGGAAAGGCATCTACCTAGTCTCCAGTGCAATTTTGAGTGCTTGGGACTTGTTGTGTGGAAGTTCTAAGGGCATCTAAAAACATTCATAAAAGGACCAAAGCTACAGCCATATGTCTAAGGTCTGTGCCACAGTGGTGATTGAGGAAGTGAGGCAGATTCCTGTCTAGAATAGGGTTTATCAGACACTTTTAAATTAGGCTGTCAGTGTGGATTCTTGGTCTGTAATGATTTAATGTATAGCATTGTTTAAGTCATTTAACTTCTCTGAATCTTAATATTTGAATGTGCAAAATGAGGCAAATTATACCTATGTCATGAGATTAACTGAGATAATGTATGGAAAGTCTTTACCCAGAAGTTTAATACACAGCAAGATCACCACAAATCATCAGTTGGAATTGAAAATATATTGTATGTAATAGTTAGGCTCCATTGACCAAACTCCCTCACTTTCTTTACATTCTAAAAGGCAAATATACACACAAAGAGTGATAGGGGTGTTAAGGGATATGTGAATGGTTCAATATATTTTTTTGTTCTATGAATTTGCTACCTACTATTTTTGAAAAATGTATGCTGGGACTGCCATTAATAGAGATATGACCCAGAACTAAGAATGGGGAGGTCATCACTTAACTCTCTCTTCGTGGGAGTATCCTCACAGTTAAATTTCCCCTTTGATACACCTTAACAATCACTTTCATTTCTGTCTGACATTTTCTAATGTTTTTCTATCACGCATTTGTTTTTATTTTCATTTCATATTATTATTTAAACTAAAACCCTGTGAGAAATGCTATGGCTCTCACTCTAAGTGATTACATATTTGTGCATATGTGTATAAATATGAAAAAAAGATTGCATACAGATAGGTCACATATGTAAGTGTTCAGTTATTTAAAAAATTCCAAGTTTTGATATAACTTATACACTTATAGAATTCTCATTATGTGTTAGTAAATGATCTGTGAAATCTAGAAGAGTTTAAGAAACTCTCAAAAGCTTTTCTTATAATTTTCTTGTGCTAGATGCATTTAATACCCTACCTTATATAGTAGACATTGTAATCAATAGTTACTCATTGATGAATTGATATAGTTGTTGATTTTAAACTGAAATAAAAATTTTATCTGAAAAGAAAATAACTGTGGCAGTGCTTTGACTAGAGGGAGGAGGGTTAGAAAAGTTTCCAGAACTCCAGAGATGGTGATATTCCCAGTGGGAATATCAAGAATCCATGGGATTCTTGAAACAAACCTGCCCCACACACTTGAGAGGTAAGGATTGTTTGCTTGGGGCCAGAGCGTTGAATGGGGAATTCATAGTGTGAAGGTTTTGAAGATCTCTTAGTTCTGTATTTGGCCACGCCCCAATGCCAAGTATTATTTCCTGTCCAGACAGAAAGAGAATGAATCTCTTCCTTCACTTTTGTATATAATTTGTCTCCTATAACATCTTTTTTTGAAAAAAAAAAATTTACATATATGAAATGGCTTTAGGGCAGAGCTGAAATAGTCAAAAGAGACTTCTGTCTATGGCAGTAAAATAATTAACACTTGTACACATTAAAGTTTTGCTGTTTGTATCTGCTCATTGGAATGACTAATCCTTTCTTAGTTTAAAGAAAATCTTTAGATTGATACCAGTAAGGAAAATGTTGACTAAAGATGGACCCCTGGTGTGAAATATTAGGTAAATGAATGCGAACACTTTGGTACTCTTTGATGGCAATGTATATTTAAGTTGAAGTTACCTCACCCTCAGTCACCCAATAATTAAAGTTAATGATTGAAACACAAGTAAAGTTTAATCAAATTATTTCTTCAACATTGTCTTCTACAGTTTATCAACTTTAGAATGGCCTAATCAGAATATCAGCAAAGTCGAACATGTATGGAACTGAATCTTAGTAATCTAATGTCAGCAATACTGAATAATGTTTAACAAACATTCATTTTCTTCTCATTTCCACTTATATTCTCTACTTGTAATACTACTATTATAAAAATGAAATGAAAACTGGTTTCATTACACTTTTTATTTCTATTCTTACTTAAGAATGAATAAGACTAAATTTCATACATGTAATTTTTGCCTTCTTTATTTAATAACAAGGATTTTATTGTACAAGTAAGCTTTTAATTTAAATTTTGGCAGTGACACCCCATTATAACCTTTGGCTCTCATGGTGTCACATGGATAACTTTTATTGTCATATAATACAAAACTAATGGATCACGATTGTTATTGTAAAATTTTGGCACTCAATAACTTTTCTGTTTTACCTCAGAATTCATTCAAAGGACTTTTTGTGATAGCATTTTGCTTATAGGGTTCTTGCATTTTTAAAGGAAGTGCCTTAAGACCTAATCTGGTTCTAGAGGATATATATGGATATTAAAATGTCTATGAAACATTGATGGAGGACTTGGCTAAAAGGGTGTTTTTCTGTTGTATTGAAAATAAATTATATGGCTGGTAAAAAAAAATAGCAAAGGCTTAAACTGCTGTTCATCTGTTCTTTTACTCTTCCGGGGAGCTATGACCATGAAGCACAGATAGCCTTGTTCCTATGTGTGCGCATGAGACATTCCTGGGAAACTCTGCTCTCATTTCCCCTTCTTGGAAGAAACAACCCATCAAGGAGTAATTCAAATCCAATTCTCCTTTTATTCAATGACCATCTGATCATCCCTATGAAAGTTTGTTTCAGTCTATAAATCTAGTTTCTCTTACAAAGGCGTCTCCCAATCTGACAGCTCCCAAGCCAAACCAGGCATCTTTCTTATATTTCCTACTTTGATGTAAGGAGGTTGAATTTTATCCTTCAGGCCAGCATTTCTAAGACTGTATCTAGAGGAACTCTAAGTGTGCTGTGAAGTGTTAATAGGTGTTTTTTGAAACAAGGGTTCCATTTTCAGATAATTTTGAGAAATGCAGCCAGGTGTGGCACACGTCTGTAATCTAGGAGGCTTAGGCATGAAGATTGTAAGTTTGAGCCCAACCTGGGCAACTTAGCAACTTAGTGAGATCCTGTCTCAAAATACAAAATGTTTTTTTTGAAAAAGAGGGGTTTGGCGATGTAGTTCAATGTAAAGGCCCTGCATTCAATTCCCAGTACCACAGCGTCTGCTAATGCAGTAAAGACTGAAAAAAATCATAAAAGACTGTGAAAATACTTCAACAGGGCATCACAATCCCTGACTTGAAATATTACAGAGCTACTGTGATAAAAACAACAGGAAAAAAAAACCAGACCTTAGCAGTAATGGAATAGATTAGAAGATGCAGAAATAACCCCAAACACAACTCAGTCACCTTGTCTTTGACAAAGGGGCCACATTTCTTCACTGGAAGAAAGATAGCCTCTTTAATAAATGGTGCTGGGAAAACTGGCTTTCCACATGCCAAAGACTAAAAACAGACCCCTGTCTCTCACCATGCACTAAACTAAAATCGAAATGGATCAAAGATCTAAATACTAAAACAGAAACACTAAGTCTGCAAGAAGAGAGAACAGGTAGAATTCTTAAAGTCATAGGTGTGGGCAGAGACTTCATGAACAAATCCACAGTCTCACAGGAAATGCTACAAAGAATCAACAACTTGGATCACATCAAATTAAAAAGTTTTTGTGCAGCAAAAGAAGTCACCAACAGAGTGAAAAGACAACACATAGAGTGGGAAAAATTTTTAGCCAGTTGTCCCTCAGACAAAGGACTAGTATTTAGAACATATAAAGAATTGAAAAAAAATCAGACTCCTCCCCCCAAATTTAAAGACCCAATCCAAAAATGGGCATCTGAGATGAATACACATTTCTCAGATGAAGAAGTAGAAATGGCAAATAAATATATGAAAAAATGTTCAACATCACTGGCCATTTGAGAGATGTTAGTTAAAATAACACTGAGATTCCATCTCACTCCAGAAAGAATGGCTAGTATCAAGAAATCAACCAGTAACAAATGCCAGTGGGGTTGTGGGGAAAAATGAATCCTTCTCCACTGTTGGTGTGAGTATAGACTGGTGCAACCACTGTGGAAATCAGTGTGGAGACTCCTTAAAAAACTAAGATTAGAGGTCCCATTGGACCCAGCTGGGTATCTTCCTGAAGGAGTTGAAAGCATCATACCACAGTGCTATATGCACACCCATTTTTATAGCAGCACAGTTTATAATAGCTAAATCTTAGAAACAGCCCAAATGCCCAGCACTCGATGAATGGATAAAAATGAAAATGTTGGCCGGGGATTTAGCTCAGTGGTTCTGGCACCTGCCTCGCAAGTGAAAGGTCCCGAGTTCGATCCCTGATACCAAAAAAAAGAAAAGAAAATGAGGTATATATATATATACAGCAGAATATTATTGAGCCATAAAAAGACATATTAAGATATGGTGGACCTTGAAAACATGATAAGAGAAAGAAGCCAATCATGAAAGACTACTTATTATATTTATATGAAATGTTAAGATTAGGTAAATCCATAGAAATAAAGTGGATTAGTGGTTTCCAGAGCCTAGAGGAGTGAGCAGTGATGCTTATGTGTACTGGGTTCATTAGGGGTGCTGAAACACATTCTAAAACTAGGTAGCAGCGGTAGTTGCACAACTCTGTGAATATACTAAACACGATTGAATTTTGCACCTTAACAGGTTAGATTTGTGATATGCAAATTATATATAAATTTAAAATTGTATTAAGATTTTTGAAAAATGGATTGAAGAATGCTTGGCTATCATTCGAGTCCTTCAGTACCTTGGGTGTCAGGCTCAGAGTGGGGGAGCCAGCAGAGATGTCTTGGGATGCTCCCCTCTGACACTCCTCAGGAACAGCTCCTTTGAGGGCTTCACGGTGGCCAGGAAGGAACTTCTAATGTCCTCCTCTACCACTCAGGGCCTCCCTAGTCTCTCTTCCCTTTCCAGGCCTTTTTTTGGGTTAGCAGCAATTGAGTCTCCTCTCCAAGGCAGGAGCTCCAGTGCTCTCAGGCATGCATGCAGTGTCTTCAGTCACAAGAAAAGCAGCTTCTGGCTGTCTGAGCAGCCATATTGGGTCTTATGCTTATCAAAGAGTTTGCTCAGGGCGTCCATATAGAGTGCGTGGTATTTGTCCACCATCTCCTGGCTTGGTTTTTCAATTTGGGGCAGTGGCAGAGGCTCCCCGACTGCCAAGAGAGATGGGAAAAGAGAAGAGTGAAAGTGCTAGAATCTCTGCTTCCTTTAGCTTCCTCTTCTTCCTGTGCCCAATCCTCTGGAAGCCGAAGTTGGCTCCCAGCTTCTCCCCCTCTGCTGCCCTCTTCTTTAATGGGGTCAGGGCAGGGAGTGCTGAGATGGAGGTTAAGAAAGTTGAAGTGCCCTCAGGGATTGAGAGCAACACTTACCCACAGTGACAATAGGCCTGCTGTATGGGAAGAGACCAACGGAGCCTTGGTGAAAGCCTTGTCCATAGAAGACACAAAAATAGAAACCGAAGATTCGGCGGAAGAAGTTCTGGAACTTGTACATCCTGCTGCCCTCCTGGAATAGCACCTGGTCAAACACTTCAGTTTCTCCAAAAGTGAAGGTGGGGACCAGATGAGCCCTGTAGGAAAACTCCAATTTATTTTTCAAACACAGGCTAGAATGGGAACCACTTTGGAAGAACATTTGTTTGTGGTCAGGCCCACATCTATGGTATTATGATAAAATCCCAGTGACCTAAGGCACTTCTTCTTGTTCCAAACAGAACACCCCTATCTAGAGACTCTTGTCCTGAAATTTTCCAGGGCAGTGAGAGTGTTATCTCTGGGCCAGCATTACGAGGGCAAGAAATGGGGGTATAGGGAGGGAAGAGGTGTTGGACTCTGCCAGAGAGACCACCAGAGACCCACAGCATGAAAAGCTTTGAGGAAACATCAAGGAGGGAAACACCTGACTGCTTCTGTTGGTTAACATGCAGAGAAGTTGAGGGTAACTCTGCATAGATGTACATATATAATATGCCCCTCACTCAAGGGAGCTGTTCGTGAGTGATGGGATTAGAGAAGAGAAAAGTTATTGCCCAGAGACCATGAGATCAAACCCCGAATAGTGCCCTAAGTAGAGAATCAGGATAGTTAAGTTTCTTAACTGAGAGAAGAGTAAAGGGAACAGAGTTTCTTTCATGTAAATCTTTATGACCTGCTAATACCCATCTCTCAACACTTCAACATATCTTTCTTACTGGATCCTTACAACAAAGACAGTGGAGACACAGCGGGGGATCTGAAGCCCAGGTTCGGAAGGGAGAAGGCCACTCAGGCAGTCAGGGAGGACCTGGGCTAGAACCCAGGACCGCTTCCTCCCAGTTCAAAGCTCCCTGGCTTACCTTATGCTCCAGACTCATGGGCAGGGCCCCCAGACAAGGTCCTTAGAAGATAGACTCCCCGCCTCTATGAATGTGAATAGGACAATTGAACTTGCATACATGGGCTAGAATGCTGGCCTGATAGGGCAACTTGTAGCTCTAGCCTAGGGCTCCTCTTTGCCCCTAAGTCAGAGTGGCTAAAATTTATTACTTACAGCATACCAGGCATGTGGTAGGTGTTTTATATGGATAGATTTATTCAAAGCCCACAGTCACTCTAAGGAATAGATACAATGATCAGTAGCCACATTATGAAGATGAAAACCCCAAGGCTCAGTAATGTTTAAGTAACCTGTCCCAAAGTTCATGGTACATCAAGGAGCCAGAATTTTATTTATTTAATTTATTATTGTTTTATGTGTATTGTGTATGGTGCTAGAGATCAAACTCAGGGCTGTGTGCATGCCTGGCCATAACTTTACCACTAGCTCTACTCCCAGCCCATGGAGCCAGGCTTTTATTTTATTTTATTTTTTATTTAGTTTTTGGTACCGGGGATCAAACTCGGGTCCTTGTGCTTGCACAGCAGGC